GGGTGTGAGTGGGTGTGGGTGTTTGTGTGGACGTGAGTGAAGAGAAGACCCACACCCACACCCACGCACACCTACACCCACACCCACACCCATCCATACCCCACGCCCACCCACACCCACCCACACCCACACCCACGCACACCTACACCCACACCCACACCCATCCATACCCCACGTCCACCCACACCCACCCACACCCACACCCACGCACACACCACGCACACCCACACCCACACCCATCCACACCCCACGCCCACGCCCACCCACCCACACCGGTAAGTATGCTCTTCGCCGAAAATAAGATCGTCGAAGAACATTACATTCCCCACACCCACCCACACCCACACCCACATCTCACACCCACACCCACACCCACATCCCACACCCACACCCATACCTGATATTCATGATTAAGGAACCAATTAGACACGCAGTTGAGCGTTTTGTACATCTAAAGTTCTTGTTATTGTTGTTTAGTGTGAATTCGCAGCTTTTTCTTCTTGAATTGATTAAAGAAACGAAATAAAAAAAGAGATATCATTGATTACAAAATGATAAACATAAAAAACGCACAATTAGAACATATTTGCATATGGATGAATTTTACTCATATGTTACCGTTAATACAAAACATTCGAAAGAAAAACAGAGTGAACATGGAGATAATTTGACTTGTGCGTTTGACAACCTTCTTTAATTATGTTGTTCATTCTATTTTTTTATCTAGATCCACGGAAAAGACAACGTAATTGATCTAAAAGAATTAATTCAAAGTTCATTGATTTCACAAGAATCAATTGCATTCGAGATCGATTATGGAGCGTTCAATTGTGTTGCCACTATTCAGTACAGTACAATACAGCTTGCACATTCTATTATTTCAAAATTTATTTTAGTCGTTTTCAATAGTTTTATTTCAAAATGTCAAGAATGTACAGGGTGTTCCAAAATTTCGTTAGGAAAGTAAATTCGTATAACTTTCTTACCTGTCAAAACAAGTCAACCAATTTTATGTCATATGGTAGACATCACCGCGAAGTTTTTTTCAATACGAACAAACTTTGCAAATAGTGTTGAAAGTTAACACTTGACTGAAATATGGAAAATACGTTTTTTCAATAAAATTCGAAAAAAACGAGATTTCGGTGATTTTTTTGATCGTTTCAATTTTTGCAGTATTCTGAATTTTGCAGTTTTTAGCATCGCTTTATTAACATCTTATTGTGATATATTAGCGGACTTTAATACTAGACACTTCTGTATGAAGGTATCTGAAAAAAATTGCTATAAAAGGATACTAAAAACTGCAAAATTTAAAATATTGCAAAAATTGAAAGGATCAAAAAACCACCGAAATCTCGTTTTTTTCAATAAAATTCGAAAAAACGTATTTTCCATATTTCAGTCAAAAGTGTTAACTTTCAACATTATTTGCAAAGTTTGTTCGTATCGAAACAAACTTCGCGTTGATGTCAACCATATGACATAAAATTGATTGATTTGTTTTGACAAATAAGAAAGTTATACGAATTTACTTCCCTAACGAAATTTTGGAACACCCTGTACTTTATTTAATCAAGTGACCATCACTGTGATTTATATGCAAACGCTTCGTTCTTCCCAAACATGACAATCGAAAATCTGTTGCCATTTGTAATATAGTGCATGGTTATTCAAAAAAAGACTTTACTGATTGATTATTGATTTTTATAAGAAAATAGTCTTGGTCGATAATAGTTGATCAATCAAATAAATTCTGATTTGTCAGTACACTGTTGTAAAATATAATTAAACATTAAACTTTTCGGATGCTCATGTCCGAATATATTAATGCTGGTGTCCAATGCTTGTTTAGCATGCTTGGCTGCTTCATCATATCGATGAAGATAAAAAAGTACCTGTGCCAAGTTACTATGGCTATCCGCTAGATTAGCACGGGGACATGAGTTCGATTTTTGTTGAATTTCAAATGCTTTTTCAAGGTAGGATAATGCAGTAGAAAAATCTCCCATTTGCAAATAAGTCATGCCCAGATTACTGTTGCTCCTAGCTAAACTCAAATCATTCTCTGGAAGAGATTTTTCTCTTATCTCTAATACTTCTCTTAAATATAGAAGTGCAGTTGAATAATCTTTCAAAGTTAGACACATTGTGCCAATATTATTATAAACTGTCATTAACTTTGGATCCGTAGGTGGAAGAACTTTTTCTTGAATTTGAAGTGCTTTTTCGTAATATGCTAAAGCACTAGTATAGTCTTCCATGGTCTTATAGATAAGCGCTACTTTGGTAAACGTAGTACCTAATCGAGGATCAGTGGGTGATAATAAATCTTCTTCAATCTGAACTACCTTACGAAGATAAGGAAGCGCTTTAGAATAATCCATCATTGTAAAATATAGCATACCAAGTTGAGAAAAAGTATCGGCCAAATCAAGAGAATCAGCAAAAGGAGTTTCTTCATTTATCTCGAGTAGTTTATGCAGGTATGCCAGAGCATCAGAATATCTTTCTAAGCGTTCATATGATGTGGCGATATGACGGTAAGTTCTTAGTAATAGGCAATGATTTGATGGAAGTGATTGTTGTTCAATTTTTAGTGCTTTTTCACAATAAGATAAAGCAGTAGTGTAATCATTGATATCATTGTACATTCCACCAATATTTACACACGTGTTCGCAATTTCTGGATGATTAGGCGGAAGAGACCTTTCGTAAATATCAAGTGCTTTTTTATAATATACCACTGCACCTGTATAATCGTTCATGTTATGATAACTTAAGCCAATATTATTATAAAGTATACCCAGTCGGGGATGTGTTGAAGGAAGGATATTGTGGACAATGTCTAGAGCTTTATTGTGATACAGAAGACCTTTGCTACAATCCTCCATGGAGTTATAGGCTAACCCCATACTATTGTAAACAGTGGCCAGATCTGAAGGAGCTGCATCAGGAACATTGTTATGAATCCGAAGAGCTTTCTCATAATACGATAAAGCCATCGAATAATCTTTCATTTCATAATATGTCATACCAATATTATTATATTCGATAGCTCTACCATGATGATTTTTTGGAATTGATTTTCGTTTTATACTAAGTGCGTTATTATACAATGAAAGTGCAGTTGAATGATCCCCTATTTTGTCATAGATTAGAGCAATATTATTGTAACACGTAGCTAGGGAAGGGTGATTCGATGGAAGACTCTTCTCTCGAATACGGCGAGATTTTTCCCAGAATGAAAGTGCAAGTTTATATTGTCCCATAGATTGATATAGTTTGCCAATATTTCCATACCCAATCCCAAGATTAGGATGTAAAGGTGGTAAAATCTTCTCCTGTATATTTTGCGCCTTTTCATAAAAAGACAATGCTTGTGCATAATCTCCTAGTGAATCATACGATTGAGCAATATTATTATAGCTTACAGCTAAGTGAGGAGAGTCAGATGCATAACTATTTTCTCCAATATTTAGAGCATTTTGGTAATAAAACAGCGCAACTGAATAGTTATCCGTGGAATGATAACATAAACCAATACCGTTATACAATGCAACTAAATTTAAAACATTCAATTGTAGACATTTCATTTCAAGATCTATCGCCGTCGTATAGAATGAAATCGCCTTTGAATAATCACCTTGTGCATATTTTATTTGTCCCAAATAATAATTAATGTTTATAGGTTTTTTTAAATTTATTCTTGATGTTAATTGAAATAATGATTGACAGATTTGTTCAGCTTTAGTGAATTCTCCCATTCTAAAAAGTAATGGAACAAGTGCATCCATTCCATCGGCTTTTCTAAGTTCTTCTTCTCGCACATAATCAGTTAATCTCTTCAATTGTTTATCATTATCACTTGTTACTATAAGGGTGACTTGCCAGAAATGATCACCAATTTGATCCATATCACCAATTCGATAAACAGTATGCATTGACAAGAGAATTTCATCTTCTGTATTTTGATCATTTGAATAATAACTAATATCTTTCAACGAAGCATAAGGTACTGTTAAAATTGTTGAATCAATTTTAATAATAAAAAGGACTCCAACTGTATTAGATTTTTGTCGACTACTATCAGCATACGTGTATGATACATCGCGATCAATACTAGTCGATAAAAAACTATTAAATGAAATAAGACCACCTCGAGTTCTTTTCAAATTTTCAAAATCATTTGTTGCCATGCCTTGACCTCGATATAGCAGCAAATTTTTCGTCTTTGTATTTTCCATACTATGGATTCTTTTAATTTGTTCATGTAAATCCCGAATAAAAAATCCCATATCGATAATAATATCCACATCTTGCTTTCTCAAAGCTGTATTAAGAATGCTATAAATAAATGATTCTTTAGTATACCACCAAGCAGGCGAATGCCTTTTGTAATTTTGTTCAAAACAATTAATGGCAAGTAATCCTGGTTTATTGTCAGCATAAAGATTTTGTAGATAATCAAGAAACTTTTTTTTAGCTGTTTCATCATATTCAATAGAAATTAAAATTTCTTTAAGTAATTGGGAATACATAAATGAACATGCAAGTTGATCGAGATTTCCAATTGAAGATACAGATATTATATTAAATGGTATCAAATCGTCTTCACATCTTTTAATATCAATTTTTAATTTGCTTAAAAGATGTGAAATATGACGAAAGTTTCCTTGGACTTTTTTCCAATTTTTTATCCATGGTTGCTCGTTGCTTTCAATATCAGAAAATATGTATACAGAATCTAAATGAGATATGTCATCGATTAAGGGTGCTAAGACTTGAGCCAAATCATTAGATAAAATAAGAAAAACTTTTCTATTGATTGCATCAGTAAGAAAGTCTATACATTGATTAACATCGCTGAATGTTTCTAAAGAATTGGCAAGAATTTGAAGTTGCAAAATCGAATCTCGACAATATTTATTGTTTTCATTCATATTTTCATCGAGCCAAATAATAATAAAATCTTCCATATTTGTCTCATTAGATGGAAACATGACTCTTTGAGATTTGTTGCAGTATCAATTTAATATGATTAATGATAATAACGTCTGACGATATTAAGAGATTTTTCCAGGCACAGTTGAGACAATTAATAGTAGTAGTAATCTTGATAAGATCTATTATAACGGGTGACCCATAATGAATGTCCGCTCTTTGTATTTCATATTTGAATCACCAAATAGGTTGTATTAAAAAAACAAAATATGCTACTAGATGCAGCCTGAAAAGCTGTACAATCTACCTAGGAAAGCCTATTTTATTTGTCTAGGTCTTGTTTTCAAAACAAGCAAAATTCTGTGCGACCAATTTTTGATGTTGCGAACGATCTAATTTTTTCGTTACTTTTTCTTATTTCATTTTTTCATCACCTAATATGTTTTATTAAAAACAAAACAAAATACACCACAAGATGCAACATAAAAAGCTCTACAATTTAGAAAGAACAGCTTATTTTATATATGCACCTTTGTTTTTCAAAATGGACAAAATTCGACACGACCAATTTTTGACGTTGCGAAGCATATTATTTTTTTTATATACGATGAATTTCGTTTTTATTTCTTCGATTAATGACTCATAACAAAGATCCATAACAAATAGCCGCTTCTAGACCAATCGATATGTATTCGGATTATATTGTTCCACTTATTTTGATGTTACTTGTGGGAGGCACAGAATAATAAATCATGACTGTCTAAGTGCATTCATTTAATAAAAAAAAAATGAAATCTCAGGACTTTCGAAAGGTGGTTATGCGAATGATTGACGATGGAATGCCGTCGATCGAAATTGAAAAACAATTACGAAATGTCGTCAACCAACGTACAATTAGACGATGGCAAAATTTATACAAGGAAACAGGTGAAATCGATTTGAAAAAATCGACTGGTAGACCCAAGATTGTGAGAACAAAAGGTCTTATACAAAAGGTGAAACAGCGATTGGTTTACAAAGGTCGACAAAGTGCACGTTATTTAGCTAAATCATTTGGTGTTTCCAGCGAAACTATGCGCCGAATAATTAAGGACGATCTTAATTTACGTGTTTATCGTATTACAACTCAACCAAAGTTAACCGATGATCACAGAAAACGACGAGTATCATTTGCATCTTGGGTGCGAAAATTCTTAAGAAAAGAAGATCATCGTAAAATTTTATTTACTGATGAAAAATATTTTTCAGTGGAAGGTGTATTCAATCGAAAAAATGAACGTGTTTATGCTGTAAGTCGATTGGAGGCAGATGAACAAGGGGGCATAAATGAAAAATCTAAGTATTCAAAAAGAATAATGGTATGGTTGGGAGCTTCTAAAAATGGTCTTACATCTCCAATTATATTTGAACCTGGTGAAACATTATCGCATAAGAATTATATTGAAGTTCTTCTTCCACATGCACAATCTGAAGGTGAACGGCTGTTAGGCGAAGATTTCATCTACCAACAAGACAACGCCACGCCGCATGTACATCGGAAATCGTTGGCATGGTGTGAAGCAAATTTCAACCAATTTATAGGCAATCACAAATGGCCGCCTAACAGTCCTGATCTCAATGTTCTGGATTATTACGTGTGGGATGCTATTACACATAACATGCAATGGAATAAAGTTAAAGATTATGATACATTAATTGATGAAATTAGGAAAGGAATTCGTCGTGTACCAAAAGATGATCTTCTTCGTAGCGTCAAAAATTGGTCGTGTCGAATTTTGTTCGTTTTGAAAAACAATGGTGCATATATAAAATGAGCTGTTCTTTCTAAATTGTAGAGCTTTTTATGTTGCATCTTGTGGTGTATTTTGTTTTGTTTTTAATAAAACATATTAGGTGATGAAAAAATGAAATAAGAAAAAGTAACGAAAAAATTAGATCGTTCGCAACATCAAAAATTGGTCGCCCAGAATTTTGCTTGGTTTGAAAACAAAACCTAGCCAAATAAAATAAGCTTTCCTAGGTAGACTGTACAGCTTTTCATGCTGCATCTAGTAGCATATTTTGGTTTTTTAATACAACCTATTTAGTGATTAAAATATGAAATACAAAAAGCGGACATTCATTATGGGTCACCCGTTAGTTTTGTTTCACAGACTTTCTTATACTAGAATATAAAGGAAATTCTTGTTTGGTACGTTTTTTTCTCAACGAAGTTGTTAATATCAGAGTGCGTAATAGTTACTTTTAAGGAAGTGGTTACATGGGGTTCGCTTCTCTCGTAATACGTTTGATAGAACAAGAAAGTGATAAGCAATTTTCGTAGATTTGATTGAAAAGAAAAGCTTTTTTTCTTCATAGTGCAGGCAATCTTTTCTGTTTCTATGAAACAACAACATAAATATTTAATTACGTTACCCATTTTAACATAAACACTTAAACCTTTTTAAATATAAGCATGAATTAGCCCTACAATCATTGTGATCCTAAAGGGAAAATAGCACTTAATGCCATGGTATACCAGAAATGACATGTAATATAATGAAAATATGGTGAGCGGACAACTGATCACAGGAAATTGATCATGGGACAACTGATCACGGACAATTGATCATGGATAATTGATCATGACAGACAACTGATCACGGCGGACGACTGATCATGAATAACTGATCATAAAGGAAAATTGATCATGAAGGTTCATGAAATTATTGTTATCGTTTAGGGTGGGTGTGTGGGTGTGGATGTGTGAGGTGTGGGTGGGTGTGGGTGGGTGTGTGGGTGTGGGTGAGTGTGGGTGTGGGTG